TTCTCTGCAGGAGAGCCCGCGCGTGCCCGCCCTGGCACGGGACCAGGAGCGGCTCTTGGCTCTGGGACACCACGAGGCGCTGTTCCCTACACCGTGTGTAGGGCACCACGAGGCACGCTGTTCCCTACACCGTGTGCAGGGCACCACGAGGCACGCTGTTCCCTACGTTGTCTGTAGGTACCACGAGGCACGCTGTTCCCTACACCGTGTGCGGGGCACCACGAGGCACGCTGTTCCCTACGTTGTCTGTAGGTACCACGAGGTTCATGGTTCCCTGTGCTGCATGGAGGGCAGCAAGAGGCGCGTTGTTCCCCACACTGTGTGTAGGGCACCGTGAGGCACCTTGTTCCCTACCCCGTGTCTGGGGCACCGTGAGGCGCGTTGTTCCCTGCACCGTGTTTGGTTGCCGGGCCTGCCTGCTGTGTCCAACCGCTGCTGCTCCTGCGCCGTTTTCCACGTTGGGCTGACTCTGATGGGAGGTGGGCCCTGTCCGCTGCGGGATGTGTGAAGGGGATGGGGAAGTCGGGTGCTGGACGAGAGCAGAGCCGCGTGTGTCCGTGTGCAAAGGGCCGAGGCTCGGACCCGCGTGACGGAGCGGCCGGAACCGACGGCAGCCACGGGGGTAGCAGGAGAGGAGCCGGCGCCGCGGCAGCGCGTCGCCCTCGGGAAGAACTGCCGGGATAGGGGAGCTGCGCGYGGCGCCCGTGTCCGTGGGGAGCCCGGTCAGAGACCGGCGCTCCCAGCTCTGGGACAGCCCATCCCAGAGCCCAAGGCACCTGGCTGTAACTGGGAGAGCTTGGAAAAGCAAGAACCAAACCTGGAACTTCCAGCCAGTGGAAATAGGGCGGAGGGGGTCTGCAAGCGAGAGGAGAGCGAACCCCCCCGTTGAGCAGTGTCCCCCCTGGCAAGAAGGGTGTCGTGCCGCGGGAGAGGAGGGATTCGCTCCCGCCGGGGCTCGGGAAGCGGCAGAGCAGTCGGGAAGCGCAGTCGAGGGAAGGAGCGGGGCGGGAGGGAGAGGGAAGGAAAACGCTGCGGGAGCCGGGAGGGAGCCCCACAGGGAAGGGGCTGCCGCTGCCCGCGGAACCCGGCGCCGCAGGAGACGGGAATCCTTGGAGCTCGGTGGAGCTGCCGCTTCCCGAGGGGCTGCCGGGGTTCGGGTGCAGCGGGAAGGGGGCGGCGCCGCCGCTCCCTGGGGGACGCGGGCGCCGCGCGCGGCCCGGGCCTGCTGCTCCCGGCACCCCGGGGCCCCGCGGGGCGGCCCGGCCCGGCGGCACCGGCGCCTCCCGGCGGCGGCGGCGGCCCCTTTAAGAAGCGCCCGGGGCGCGCGGTCTCTTTAAAAGGGGAGCAGGGGGTGTGGCCGCCTCGAGGTGGCGGRGAGGCGTGGCTATGCTAATGTGAGGGCGGTACCACTGCGGTCACGGGGAGGGGGGGCGGTGCAAGGCTGGCGCTTCCTGTGGGCCCGGAGGGCGCGCGCCCCTGCGCGCCGGTCCCTTTAAGAGCGCGGCCGCTATCACCGCGCAGGGGAGGGCGGGAGTGTGTGTGTGTGGGGGGAGGGGAGCGCAGGCCCCGCCCCCCGCGCCGGGCGAGACCATTTCCCGCAGCGGGAGGGGGGTCGGGGGCGGTCCCGCCGGCCG